ATGGGTTGGAAAGAGATGAGGCTGGGAGTGGGGAGAATAATTTAATAGCTGTGCAGCAATAAGTGGAAAATGATGAGGGCCCAAACTCAGCTAAGAGGTAGTGGGTCTGTAGAGGTCAGAAGATAGGAACAACAGGTCATGGCATCTGGTCATTTTTAGGGAAGGAGACAGAGAGAAAGGAGGACAAGTGATTCCCACCTTCTGGCTGGGCATCTGAAACAGGGTAGCAGTGAACGGGGGAGGAAAGAAAGAGGGTAAGAGAATAAACATGTATTGATTTCCTTCCACATTCCAAGCACTGTGTGAGGAATATTACATATATTAATTTACTTAATCTTCACAACAAACCTGAATAATTGGATTATTAAACCCTTTTATCAGCTCAGGACCTGTAGCACAGTGGTTACAGTGCCAGGCACATGTACTGAGGCTGGCAGGTTCGAGCTCAGCCAAAGCTAGCTAACCAACAATGACAACTGCAACAAAAAATAGCCAGTGTTGTGGCAGGCGCCTGTAGTCCCAGCTACTTAGGAGGCTGAGGCAAGAGAATCGCTTAAGCCCAAGAGTTTGAGGTTGCTGTGAGCTGTGACACCATGGCACTCTACCGAGGGTGACATAGTAAGACTCTGTCTCTAAAAAAAAATAAAAGAAAGAAAGAAATCAAACTGTTTTATCCAAAGAAGAAAACTGAAAAGCAGCTTAATCCACTAGGTCACAACAAACACAGGTGTTTTTCAGACCCTAGCTTGGAAGAAGCATGTTGGAAGGCATGTTGGAGGACATCGTTAACTCTGGAAGCCTGTTCACATGGACGGCAGGAGAATCTTGCAGCAGATTCTAGTCTCAGTCTGCTTTTTGAGAGGGACCCTGAAGCTGAGCAGCATTTCTGTATATAGAAGAGCAAGCAAGCTCAGAGAGGTCTGCCCCAAGTCAACCCCACCTCAAAAGAACTTCAAATTGGACTTCTTCAAGAACAAGGCTTAAGGTAATCCCTTGACTCTAAGTGAAGGGACAGGCCCTGTCTTTTCCTATCTAGCTTCTCCCTAAACATTCAGTGCTATCCTAGGAAGAGGAAGTATGCCTCCCTTCCCTGGTCTAGGGTTGGCCTGATTCCAGGGCTCTCTGGAGCTGAGTCTCAGTCATTTCAAACAATTAAGTAAGTTACAAAAAATAGTAATTTGGCTAGTAAGAGCAAGAGTCAGAATTTGGACCTGTCTGTATGGCTCCAAAGCCCACATTCTTTCCACTTTCACATATTGGGGAAGTCACCAGGCTAGGCAATATAGGAGAGGTTAGTCAGTTTTCTTATCTGTAAAATGGTGATGTTACCTGTCTTACAGAGTTAACACAGGTAAGGATTCTTACATAGTATTCTGTCCACATTGGAAACCCAATGAAAATAAATGAGTGAAGCAATTAACACTTATAATATCTGGGCAGTGCCTGTGGCTCAAAGGAGTAGGGTGCCCGCCCCATATGCCAAAGGTGGCAGGTTCAAACCCAGCCCTGGACAAAAACTGCAAAAAAAAAAAAACACTTATAATATCATACATAATCTTTTCCACTATATGTAGAGCTTGATTATGTACTTCCTTTTAAGATCTAGGAATTCACCTTAATTCAGTCTCAGAATTAAACTGTAAGTATCTCAGTAAATAGGGATCTCTCTTTGTTTCCTCCTCTTGGTACATAATCACAGAATGGACACTTGGTAATTTACTGCTAAAATGTCAACTATAGAAGTAGATCAGGACCCACATATGAAGGACCCTGGTCCTCCTCCTGTAGTCTCTCTCTCAGTTGGTGGCACCACTATCCATTCAGTCACCCTTGCTGTAAACCTCGAGTCATCTTTAATTCCTCTTCTACCTTCTCAACCCAGATATCCTAGTGGTCTCCAAATTTCAATGATTTCACTTTTCATGTATTTCTCAAAACCCTTTTTTGTTTGTTTGTTTTAAGACAGAGTCTCACTCTGTCACCCCAGGTAGAGTGCCATGGCATCACAGATTGCAGCAACCTTAAACTCCTGGTTTCATTGGATCCTTTTGCCTTGGCCTCCTAAGTAGCTGGGCCTACAGGTGCCCACCACAACATTCAGCTAATTTCTCTATTTTTTTTTTTTTGAGACAGAGTCTCACTTTGGCACCCTTGGTAGAGTGCTGTGATGTCATAGCTCATAGTAACTTCAACCCTTAGGCGCAAGCGGGTCTCTTGAGGCTGATGCCTCAGCCTCCCCAGTCACTGGGACTACATGCACACCAAACACTACTAGGATATCTGGGTTGAGAAGGTAGAAGAGGAGAACACATCCAACTAATTTTTCCTATTTTTTGTAAGATTAGGGGGTCTCGCTATGTTGCCCCAGCTGGTCTTGAACTTAAGTTATCCTCCCACCTCAGCCTCCCAAAGTGCTGGAATTCTCAGTATGAGCCACCACACACTAATGAACCTTTAGACTGAGACTTTGGACTTTACTCCAGATTTATCTAACAGAGACTTACCCAACATATTTTCCATGCCCAAAACATCCAAATATTTCAAAATGACTTTTTCTGTTTGTAGACGTTGGGAGAGCAGATAGACAGATAGATGGATCAACCACACTTTTTTTTTCTTTCTTTGTCACTTTGTCACTCTCAGTAGAG